GGGGGGGCAAGAAATTCTCTATTCGCGTAAAAAGGAAGATTGGTTTATTCATTCAATTTCTCTGAAATTAGTTTTTAGAGGCGTCGCTACGCATTGGTACACGGGGCCCGTGTCCAAATTCTAATTGACAGTGCTCCGAATCCTCAGTCGGTGTCTTAAAATATCAGAACAGAAAACTTAAATACCTAATAGTTCTCGGATGGGCTCGAGTAAAAATAACTCCGAGTAGTTTTACGCAAAATTCAATAAACAAAGAAACAAAACCAGGTTTAAGAATAAACTCCTTAGCTAGTCAGCTTTCTTTAAGATTAATATTTACTTATTTCAAATTTGTCATATCAACATTTATGCTAAAATTAAACTGAGTATGTTTAGGAATGAAAGCCTAAGTTTTACATGAAGTTATTTTTTCAGGTGGCTTGGTCTCAGATCTTGGGGAATTGGATGGTGTGCAACTCTGGGATGCACTCTCCAAAAATCTCCCATCGCAAAGGACTGAAATACTCCACAATATTGATCCCATCTGGAAAGTGGCAGCCTTGAGAGTTGGCGATTTCAAACTTGTACAAGGTACAGTGTTCCATGGCAAGTACGATAAGTGGTTTGGTCCATCTGGAAGAACTTCAACCAAGAACAAATTCCGTGCGCATAATAAAACATCTGAAGATATTCAGAAACTACGAAATATGTGCCTAAATTCTGTGACAGCCAAAACGTTAAAAGAGATAGGAAGAAGCCTTTCAGCAGAGTTCTGCTCGTTACCAGAAGCGATCCAGGTTAATTGTGGAACTAAACCAACTAATGCTTCTAGAAACTGCCAACCAAACAAGAATCCTTGTGTTTATAACATCAAAGAAGATCCGTGTGAGTACAACAATCTTGCGCAGATACATCCAGAGGCAAGTGTTTTTCTTTAACAGTTAATACAACAATTACTGGTATTAGTTTAATTAACACATGCAGTAAACTGTTGTACAATATTCGCCATTATTTTTCCTTTTGCTAAAAATAAATTTCAACAAACTTTATGTTTCACTAGGCACAATTGAAGTAACTCTTCGTTTTTAACATGTAAATACCATCACTAAATCTATCAAAATCGAAAAAAGAACAATTATTTTTATCTTACATTATTTTTATTTTACAGATTACAAATTCTCTATCACAGCGACTTCAAGAGTACAACAAAACAGCTGTTGCCCCAGGCAACAAACCAGCCGATCCATTTGCAGTTCCTTTGTTTCATGATTTTACATGGGTGAACTGGATGGATAAGCATTGAAAGCGTTTTTTCTTCTTATTCGTGTTGCTTTCAGAAAATGATAAGCTTTGAATAATATCGGATAGCTCAATGTTTTACACATCTCTTTGAATTTCGAAAAATAATTTAAAATATAAAGTAAATTCCACATTATGTTTGTTTGTAATTAAGCACAAAGCTACACAATGGACTATATGTGCTCTGCCCACCACGAGTATCGAGACACGGATTCTAGCGTTGTAAGTCCGCAGACATACCGCTGTGCCATTGATGGGGGGGGGGGCGGCTCCACATTCTGTCTAAAATTAAGATTTTTTCATACCAATTCTCCGTTGAACAACCAAGCAGGTTTCCCTTATTCTGAGGGTTTAATAAACAAATTACAACGAGCAAAACAAATATGTCTAGACTTAAATATAAACAAAAATTATTAAATTTAATTTATGATGGTTTTATCTGGTCCAGGCGCGGACTGACCACCGAGAAAAATCACGGTGGACTTCGTTGGAAAAGCACGTAAAAATAGATTCATGTTCTGTCAACACAACAGAAAAACAATTATTTGTCTCGTGTCATCACATTAACTTTTAAATTAACGTTTGTGTTAATTCTATCAATAATGACATGCATCGTAAAGGATTTACTTGAGGATATTTCTGCTGAAGACGTTATCTCTGATCTTGTGAACTATATATATAACTAGTGTTCTAACATTAAATTTCATATACTTCTTAAGTAAGTATATCTGTTATTTTTATGACAAGTTTGTGTGCCCCCTCCCTCTAGCTTTTTCCCGCTAGAATTTTGGAGTCCAGTTTGTCCCTGAGCTTGTTGGGTTGCTGTTTCAAGTTATAGTTTGCTCCACCTCCAAATACCTCTTCAAACAAGATTTGGCTATTTCTTAATTTCTTTAGTGCATATTGGAGGATAAAATATATTTGAATATTGAAGGTTTGTATTGACAGTTTGTGTTTTAGTGGAACACTCCTGAAGAACAATAAAAGAAGAAAAATCACAGATTTGGTGTTACAAGGTCGTTTATTACTACTATTAATATTTGATTCTTTTTTGTTTTGGATTTAGTGGCGCTTTCGAGCCAAGATTTATGAAATTTCCTTAGTCTTATCCATAAATATAATTATTATATTCAAATTATATTTATATGTTTTTTTATTAACTTTGTTTAGCATAAATATTTCACTCATTAAATAATTCCAAATTGTTGGGCTTGTACTGTTGATATCACATGAACTTGGTAACTTGAATTTCCTCTACCAGCTATATTATATTTTAAAAAACAAAACGATACAATGGGTGAAAAGTATAATTCGTGATTTTCATTACGTCATCCTATTCGGACTGCAAAAATTCAGCATAAGCAGAAACTTCTTAGTTGATAATTACTTGAAATCCAAAATACGATACTTGTACGGGCCCGGCATGGCCAGGTGGTTAGGGAGCTCGATATAATGTGACGGTCAGTCCCACTATTCGTTAGTAAAAGAGTAGCCCAAGAGTTGGCGGTGGGTGGTGATGACTAGCTGCCTTCCCTTCACTGCTAAATTAGGGACGGTTAGTGCAGATAGCCCTCGTGTAGATTTGCGTGAAATTCAAAACAAACCTACTTGTACGATACACTAAATTAACATTTTCGGGCTTGTGTATCAGGGGCCCGTCTGATCCACAATTGCAAGTCTGAAAAGTCCCACCTGTGAACAACAATTTTAAAGCTCCCGCCCCTGCCTTATTATATTACACAAAACAATTAGAAACATGGTTTTACTTTATTTATTACTTTATTTAGTATACTTCAACATTAGGTTTGGGGTTGTGAGGAGCAATACACATATTTTTGACGCAGGGCTTTCATAGGCATACATACATACATGACCATATTTCAATCCTTTCTTTTCCAATGTTTCATTGTAAACGAGCTTATTCGTTAGGCAATTTGAAAATAAAAATATACAGCTAATTTCTCCTTCGCCATGGCTCAGTAGTAAGCTTGAGAGCTTATAACGTTAAAAATCGGAGCTCAATCTCTTCAGTTGATAAAACGCCGTTAGTCCATCGTGTAGCTTTGCGCTTAATAACAAAACAAACAAAATATAGCTATTTCACTCCTTTAGTGTAAGTAATGAAATAAACAAGTAAATCACTTTTTTAAATTTTATTCAGTTACTTTTCAACATTTGTCTTACGTAAACTTTATGTTAAAAAACATTTTCATTATTAAATTACAACATGCTACAGTTTCTGGAATGAAACTCTTACCAGAAAGGTTTTCCACAATAAAATAATTATTGTTATTGATAATAATATTTTATGAATAATTTCATTTCTAAAAGTTTGATGGTAAATTGAATTTCTAACACTTACATTAATATAAATAATAATAACTTTCATAAACAAAATTTGTTTGAACATCAACATTTTCCGTATCTTTTGCCATTTGTAAAATATAAATAATTAAAAATTCTATTATACAGGATCTATCATTAGAGTGAATTATCGCCCATATCTTACAGTCTTATATTTCCAAATTTGTCTTTGTGAAACAACTTCTGGATTCCGTGTTCTAAATCTTAAGTATGAAAATGACACCAGGAGGTTAACTCTTTTTTTTGTGTGTACATAACTTTGCATGGAAACACACTTTTCGTTTTCATTATAAAACATATTACAGCTTACAAAAACTATATTAAAATTATTATTCAGTACTTATCACCTCACACCTCTTATATGTTACCAGAGGTCTGCGAATGTCAGAAATGAGGACACTGGAAAAAGCCAAACATAATAACTTACTTGTAGTTAAGGAATACTCTCTTTACGAAATAATACAAAATAATGTGTGAGAGTAAATATGCTCTCCAGTTAAAAACAGTTCTCCAGTGGGATACCGGTAAGTATACAGACTTAGAACACTAAAATCCGGGGTTTGATTATCTGTGGTGAGTAGATTGTAGATAGCCCATCGCGTAGCTTTGCACGAAAACAAACAGTTAAAACAAATTCTACCGAAGGGAATATCATATATCTTATCATAATTGTCCATGATGGTGGAATGGAACAGTCGTAGGTGATGGATTATCATCAATCTGTGAGTACACTTCATCTTCGAAGTATTGATCTTTGGAAGACTATTCTGTATCACTTTATCATTACCGTTCTCTAAACTGAAATCTCGAAGGATCTGACTCTGGTTGGTGTCAAAAGTTACATTCAGATTATTTTTCCATTTGGGGATTTATTGTTTGAAAATCTTTGTCTGACTTGGCTACTTCTGCAAATAAGACAAAAACCTATCTTCTGATAATAATAATCTCAAAGTGAATCAACGTGATCGACCCCACCCTTTTTTTAATACATCATACTACCCGTTTATCTTCCTTACAGTATGGGCCATTACAAGTTAGATTCAACGTTGAAAGGATATTTAAACATTCTTTTTTTAACTTTTGTTAAAGTATATTCAGAAATTGATGTGGATACTTATTCTAATGAATAAACCGTTGAAAAACATATCATTAACTTAATTTACAAAGTTTTTTAGCAATATACAATGCACTCTTTTTCACACGCTCAAATAAGTCGAATATTTCAAATGGTGTATCTGTTTACGTAAGTTATTTTTGTACCTTCACTGTAGTCAGGTGGATATATTACTTTTGTACCTTCACTTTAGTCATAGGTTGTTATATTATCTTTGTACATTCGCTGTAGTCATAGGATGATATATTACTTACACTTTCTCTTTAGTTATAGGTTGTTATATTGCTTCTGCACTTTCGCTGTAGTCACAGGCTAGTATATTATTTCAGTATCTTCACTGTAGTCACAGGTTAATTATATTGTTACGTCTCCGTTCGTTAGTTAATTTTCCGCAAATTCTTTCCGATGAAATTTTAGCGACACAAGTCCTTTCTTCAATAAAACTGGTTTATTCTTTCTGAATACAACTTTACGATACACTTAATTTCAACATTCGCGCTAAAACAAACGCTATAACGAACGTTAACTTCAACAATACTTTCTCACTGCAGATCAATTACTCACTACCTACACACTGTCCCGCCACGCTGTCACCATCCTATATATACCAGACTACCCCCCAATCTAGGAAGGTTCGAGAAAAAAGTGGCGTGACACTGGTCACATGACCTCGGTGACGCAACACTGCCCCCTCCTTAGTATTGTTCGTCCCGAACAATAGCCACTTACAATAAACCAATAACAATTAACAATAACTTAATTAAATGTACAGAATTACAAACACAAAATTACAATTCAACAAAGTCTCTTAATTTTACGGGACATATCTTCTTCCGTACTGGTCTCCGCCTCGTTGGCTTCTGCTTCATATGGGGTTCATCTGCTTCATCAGGAAATCTTCTATCGTCGATAACAGTCACATCAGTGGTAGTAACTTCACCAAGAGCTTCACCGTTTCCCTTCTCAAAACTGAGTACAGTTTCTTCTTTGATGGTGGCTTCTTCAAGTGGACCATGATAATGCCAAAGTCTGTTGGCATGCACCACTTTTGGCTTACCTCGCCGACCACATTTTACCTGGAAAGTCACGTCTGAGAAACGATCCACTATGTCATATGTGCCTTCCCATGGAGATGACAACTTAGGAGACTTCCCT